ATGTTTGCTAACTATTTTGCTTTGTTCCACATGCACCTTTTCAACAGCATTTGACGCTGTTGGACATCCGAAGCTCATCAGAAGTCAGTGATTGACAGTATTTGAGGGGTGAGTTGCAGCAGCATTTTTCAGTGTACAACTTCTGGGTTTATCTTTCTGCTATTTATGAGTCACAAGCTGTGCCCCCAAACACCTAAGGCAATGCAATCGTTTTAGTAAAAAATAAAATAAATATAGATCTAACTTAGTTATACTGCAATAGATAGTAGCCAATACTAACATGGACCTTTCTCATGGAGAAGGTCTGTCAATGGCTATTAGTCGTTACAAGTAGAAGCTGCAACAAAAGGTGGAATCTCCTAACAGGTGTTCAGGTCTCCAGCCAGCCATTTCTGCCAAGCTTAGCAGTCAACTCTTCCCACCTCCTTGCATTCTCTTCTCTTCCCCCAACTCACTGTCTACATTTCAAGTCCCCAAGCTGTTGTCAATGTTGTTTTCCCCTTCAATTTCTTTTTTTTAAAAAAATTGTACTTCTACAAGCTGTGGAGTCCCACCTCCAAGCACAGTACTACTTTGCTGTTGTTTCTTCGTGTCTCCGTTTTGGCTACAATCCTGGCAGCGCTCACCACGTGAGTTTGCTGTTAGAAAGAGTAACAATTGCATGGAACCTCTGTGCTCAGAGAAAGAATGAATAGCAGGTGAGTGGGATTGTGCTGTTGCCTTTGGACCTTGCTGGTGGACTTCCCAGGATACTTAGCTAGAGGGACCTTATCTTCTAAGTAGGGATGTGGGAGGTTCAATTCACTATGCATTCAATATTATCCTGTTATAATTTTTTATGCAGCTCATACGGCAAACTGACTTCTAAGCAGAATGAAACACACAGTTGAAAGCTGACTTTACCTAAGGCGCACTTTCTGCAGCAATAGAAGAAATGAAGGGCAACCGTCCTTCAAAATTCGCCCTTCTCTGAATTTTGCAATGCCAAGTAACGTGTACAAAAATGCATGCAACTGGGGTGAAATGTGCATTTTAAAATGCGTATATTAGTGAAAATAACATACAAAATTATATTAGGGAAAACGTCCTTGCAAAAAATATGTACACTGGCAGAATTGCAGACGAGGAGAAATTTGCACAAAATAGTTGAATTTTCACGAGGGCTTTTTTCTCTCCCTAAAATAAAAATTCACCAACTAATGTGGAAATGTGGAGAACTGAACTCAAAATTGTAGAATGGGAAACTGAGAATGGATGGATCCATCTGTCCCTTGTTCTTAGCAGTGATAGAGCCAGGGTGGTGTAGTGGTTAAGAGCGGTGGACTCATAATCTGGTGAACCGGGTTCACTTCCCCACTCCTCCACATGCAGCTGCCGGGTGGCCTTGGGCTAGTCACACTTCTTTGAAGTCTCTCAGCCTCACTCACTACACAGAGTGTCTGCTGTGGGGGAGGAAGGGGAAGGAGAATGTTAGCCGCTTTGTGACTCCTTAGGGTAGTGATAAAGCGGGATATCAAATCCAAACTCTTCTTCTTCATCATCCTCATATAAAACAGAGTATAGGGCTGCTGAAAGGGGCACCTGAGCTCTCAAGGGAACCAGTCACTGCCACCCAAAATCCTGGCGACTTTGCTTTTCAAGTTAAACAGGCTGCCTGGGCCAAAGTAGCAAAGAGGGCAAGAGGACCACCCATAAGACTCAGCTCCTGTAACAAGCCAGTGGGATGCTAAGATGGCACTGAAGGCAAATTTTCAGATGCACGGATGGGTTGCACCTGGCTCAATAAGCAGGGTGTTCATTTTTTTTAATTGTTGCTCATTTCACACCTCAAAACAGCTTAATTATAAGTAAGCAGCAAGAACATCGAGATATTGTGTCACACTCCTCGGAAATCATCCCTGTGGGGGCCTTGGCAAGAGTGGGATGCTCCAAAGCAGAATGAAACAGATTAAGAAAACTATTCAAAATTCATTTGAAAACATCATAATAAAAGCACAATGAAACAGGCAAGCTGAACTTGGTTAATTTGCTCCATGCGCCGCGCAGGTTTATAGTGCATCTCTTAGTATGTTTTAATTAGCTTCATAATCATCGCCGGGTAACTAACAACGCGCACTGCTTAGCTGAAGAAAGAAACAACCGGGATGGTGCTGGAAACCAGGATGGTTCACTGGGGTCGGGTGCAGCTAGGAAGGACACCCTGTTCTCCATTATGTGGCTAGGAGTAAATACTACACTATGCTGAGAGCTGGCATGGTGTAGTGGTTTGGGTGTCAGACTGGAAGACTGGGGTTCTAATCCTCTCCTGCGCATGAAGCTCCCTGGGTGACCTTGGGCCAGTCGCAACCTCTCGGACTAACCTACCTCACAGGGTTGTTGTGGAGATCAAATGAGGAGGGTGGGGAAAGGACCCATGGGTGCAGCCTTGAGCTCCTTGGGGAGGGGGGAAGGTGGGATCTAAATAATAATAATAATAATAATAATAATAATAATAATTTTATTTATACCCCGCCTTCCCCGGCCAGAGCCGGGCTCAGGGCAACGAACATCAATAAAATCACAGTAAAAAACATAATGGGGAAAAAGACACAATTTAAAATACAGGTGAAAATGCAATTTAAAATGCAGCCTCATTTTAAAAGTAGCTGATAAATCAAGACCAGAAGGGGAGGGAAACATAAGGGTCAGACTGAGTCCAAACCAAAGGCCAGGCGGAACAGCTCTGTCTTGCAGGCCCTGCGGAAAGGTGTCAAGTTCCGCAGGGCCCTAGTCTCTTGGGACAGAGCGTTCCACCACATCGGGGCCAGTACTGAAAAGGCCCTGGCCCTAGTTGAGACCAATCTAACCACCTTGCAACCTGGCCCAAGGTCACCCAGGGAGCTTCATGCAATAAATGCAACAAACAAACAAACAAACAAACAAACAAACAAATAATCCCCCCACCAAATATAGAATCTGGAGAAGATCCATTTGTTTATGAGGAAGGAGGTTTAGCTAGGGATAATTATTTGGGGATTTCTCCAAGGTCTGAGAAAGCCATTTGGCCATCACACAGCTGCATTTGTACTTATAGCCCCTTTTGAGAAACCATTTTGACTGTTGGGCGTGAACCAAATACATTATCTAAGAACACTTACCTGAGTCTGTTTTTTTCCTCCTCCCGTACTACCCCCTTTCCTTTTATGCCATGTCTTTTAAAAGTGTAAGAGTGCCTTATTACCAGCCACTTTATAAGCTCCCAGGGAGCCCTTTCCAGCTCAAGAGCAGGGTAGAATGAGGCCTGATTTGAGGCAGATAAATTCAGGCCTGGGGGCTCAATGTGGCCCTCCAATGCTCTGTATCTGGCCCCCAGGCCTTTCCCCAAGCCACACACATCCTCCCCAATCGCTTTCCTTGCTGATCCTACTTTGCACCTTCCTTGTGTTTGTTGCCTGGCTAGGAGGTCATCTTTGAAACCTGATAATGGCTCTTGTTTGCCTGGCTGGAGGAATAAAGAAAGGTTCGTGTGGAAAGTAGACCCCTGTAGAAAGGTAACGTTTACATCAATTGCTCCTCCCACTTTTGTCTCTGGCTCCGCCCACCCCTGGCATGTGGACCTTGGAATGGTACTCAGAAGGGAACGCAGCACTCAGGCCGAAAAATGTTACCCAACTGCGTTCAAATTGATAGTAAATTAAAGGGCTGTGTGAATGGCATCATGGAAAAGGTGACTTTTTAAGGGGATTCATAGAATCATAGAATCATAGAGTTGGAAGAGACCACAAAGGCCATCGAGTCCAACCCCCTGCCAAGCAGGAAACACCATCAGAGCACTCCTGACATATGGTTGTCAAGCCTCTGCTTAAAGACCTCCAAAGAAGGAGACTCCACCACACTCCTTGGGAGCAAATTCCACTATCGAACAGCTCTTACTGTCAGGAAGTTCTTCCTAATGTTTAGGTGGAATCTTCTTTCTTGTAGTTTGGATCCATTGCTCCGTGTCCGCTTCTCTGGAGCAGCAGAAAGCAACCTTTCTCCCTCCTCTATGTGACATCCTTTTATATATTTGAACATGGCTATCATATCACCCCTTAACCTCCTCTCCTCCAGGCTAAACATGCCCAGCTCCCTTAGCCGTTCCTCATAAGGCATCGTTTCCAGGCCTTTGACCATTTTGGTTGCCCTCCTCTGGACACGTTCCAGTTTGTCAGTGTCCTTCTTGAACTGTGGTGCCCAGAACTGGACACAGTACTCCAGGTGAGGTGTGACCAGAGCAGAATACAGTGGCACTATTACTTCCCTTGATCTAGATGCTATACTCGGAAGAGAGACGAATGAAAGGAACTATTTAAGGAAGGACGAGTCCTTGGGGCATCTGAGAATGGTGCAGCTGCATAAATAACAAACAATGTTATATTTTAATTCATTTCCCCCCCTAGTTCCAGAATATTTTCCAAGCTTCTATGTTTCAGCGATGCAATTCATAACAGGAGAGGAAGAGTGTGGGTCGCGGAAAAAAACACAAAACAGCATTGCTAATATGTAATCTGCAGCCTGGCTTAATTTGCTTTGATATTAACATTTTAATAGAAAATATAATTTGATGGCATTTACAGAGGGGGAAAAATAAAATTTGATTTTCAGGATGATATGGAAATATTAAGAATCATAAGCAAAGGTGTCCAATATACAAGCAGGCATTTTTAATAAGAGCTTCTATTAGCAAAATGAATTCTTTTAATACATTTCTGCGTGCTAATTCGAATCACCTGATGCCTCTCTGAACTGATTAAACAGGAGCTTGTGCCCTGCTCCCAAGCTCAGCCTTGTTGTTGTTCTCTGTATTGCCAAGCCATTGTGCATAAATTTGGCATTTAACAACGGAAGGAAATATCAAGATTTGCAATATCAGCTCCCTGAGCTGTACCCATAAATCAAGGAACCATTCCCAGGCCCAACGCCTCATGCAGATATTTATTCAGATAGAGCAGGGCAAACTTTGGTCTGTATTAGCGATTTTGGCCAGACACCGCTGCTTTTTCGCAGACTTTATTAAGCAAATGACGCTTTTTGATAACCACATCCTCGCTCATTTGGTGTATTTCTGTTTACTCTATCTGTTAAAGGGACAGGATCACTTCCGGGCTTTCCCCCTCCCTCTGCCAACAAATTTGGTGAAAATATTCTAGGCCAAAGCCAAGGATAGAATTGGACACAATTATTTACTCCTTAACATCACATGGCTGGAAATGGCACAGCAAATCCATCCCATAATACAAAAGGATGCTCAAGGGGATGGTGAAATTCCAGCTTTACTTAATTTCATTTGGTTTGGCTTGATAGATGCACACTGCTTCCCCCAAAACCGAGCTGAGCTCAAAGAGGCTCACCACAATAAAAATGAAATAAAAAATGGGTGTTCTGGAGCAAGAACTTATGGGTACAGGAAAAGAGGAGCATGTATTCAAGTAGGAAAGCCCTGAGGATGAACAGTGGCGGCAGCTGTGAATAAAAAGGAGAATTCAATGCTAGAATCATTAGGAATTGAAAACAAAACTGCTGATATCATAACACCAATATACAAATATATGGTGTGGCCACACTTGGAATACTGCTTAAAGTTCTGGTTGCCTCACCTCAGAAAAGGATACAGAAATCCCTCCACTTATGTGGGGGTTATTTTCCAGGTCCTTGTGTATATAAGTAAAACAGTGTAAAGTGAGGAGCATCCGCTATAAACACCCTCCAAATGCCCTCCACCCAATGCATGTTTCATTATCTATTGTCAGGAGTGGGTGTCAAGAGCAAGTCCGCAATAAACCACACAACTTTTTATTCCAGGAAGTAAGGTCTGCTCAGGAGTCCAGGCCTAGTGAACACAGCAACTCATCCTGGTAGATCTTGGGGGAACTGAACTGATTTCAGTGTGTACACAGTAGGGGTGGCTAACCTGTAGTCCTACATAAGTTGCTGAACTACAACTCCCATCATCCTTGGCCGATGGGAGTTTAAGTTCAACAACATCTAGGGGAGGGCACAGGTTCCCTCAACCCTACGTAGTGTAACTTGAAATATAAAATAAAAACAAAAAATTTGTCTAATAGCATCTTAGAGACCAACTAAGTTTGTTCTTGGTATGAGTTTGTTGGGAAACTGTGTACATGCAGCTACTCACACAGAGGCAATTAAGGCTTGGCAGACAGCCAGAACTGGTCATGTGAAGGAGTAAGTCTGCCTGGTGATAACAGAGGCATGGAGACGGCTCCCTGATTGGTCAAGCTCTCTCAAGGGAGTAATAATTAATGGCCTACTAACTGTAATGTGTTAGTTCTGGAGTTCAGTGTTCAGAGTTCTGTGTGTCAGTGTAGGAGTTGTGAGTCATGTCAGAGAATGCTAGCTAAAGATCTGTGTTCTGTTCCTGTAAATAGTCCACTGTATATAATAAACACCTAACTACAAGTTCCTGGTTCCTGCTTCGTCTATCCTGTCTGCAGTCAAGTCGCCAATTGCTTCCGTGGATTCTGCGTGTACTCTGCTAGGTCTGGCTAAGATCCTGCAACTAGCCAGAAAGTTGTGAAACACCAAATAGGTTTTGCCAATAGAGCTTTTGTGTGCATGCACACTTCTTCAGATAGTGTAACATGACATACTAGTTTTATGTTTTCCGAAGAGTTTGTGTCCATCTAAGTTCTACTCAGCATAAACCCATTGAAATTAATGGACCTAAGTTGGTCATTTCCACTAATTTCAATGGGCCTACTCTAAGTATGACCAACACTGGAAACAAACCTAAGGGCACAGTCCTATATAGTCTTGTTTGGGAGTAAGTACCATTGAGCTCAACGGGGCTTGCTTTTGAGTAGACATATCACCCTGTAACTCTCTTAACACTCCATCCAAACACTTTGAAAGGGGAGAAATGTAAATAAATAAGGAAATATTTGTTTAAAAGGTGAATGCGTTTTAATTTTTTTGTTGATAGACAAAGCCGAAGACCTCTCTCCCCGCCCTTGTGCATTAGATCCTCCAGATTTCCCCCCTCCTGATTACTGGCTATATCTACCTTTGACTGAAGATAGCCATATGAAATTCTGTGATGATCGAGATGGATAGAGCCAAACCAAAAGACCTGCATCACCCATGCAACTGTTCGATCTTCCAAAACATTTTTGAGAATGTTCCATAGAAATGCAATGGTGTGTCTACAGAACATATATCACCAGTGGAACCCTGACTGAGTTAAGACCAAGCCAAATGTAGGATGGAAAGAAATGCTTGCATATTTTGTTTGGTCGATCTTCTTATATTCCAATCTGTCTGTCTTTTTATTTATCTGTAGTGTGAGATGTATTCTAATCTACGCTGAGAAGTAGTAAAGGCGGCTGGCAGAAGGGATTGTCTTCTCGAGTTTGGTTCTTGCTCACTGATTTAGTATTCAGAATTTAGAATTTATGGAGGATCCTTCCATTGTCACATCATCCATCAGAGGCAGACACCAGAGAGATGGAAGTGGGAGCAGAGAGAGAAAGAGAGAGAGGGAGAGGAGGGGAAAAATTAAAAACCTGTTTATTGCTCAACTTGCTCCAGGCGTCTTTTAGTTTATTGTTCAGCTTGGTTCATTCCAGCATTTCAATTTGAATGGTTCGCTTATTTGCTGTGGCTCAAAAAAATAAAAAATAAAATAAAATAAAAATCTAAATTAAAAACCATAAGGAAACCTATTTAAGAAAAAGGGGGAAGGAAGTTAAGAGTTGTGGGGTGCCAACAGCACCTTGGAACATTATGAGGTGTCAGTGGATAATTTAAGGGCCTGGCGGATCTTGGCTGCTCCAAAGGAGATGCTCAATTGCTCATTCCACTGCCATTTGACACCCCAGGCATGTCAGAGTCAAGTGGGTGGAGCTCCACGCACAAGGGACCCGCAATGCGGATGGAGAGATCCAAGTTCAGCGCCTTGATTTGCAAACACGTTGCAAGCAAAGATGAGGAACCACATTTCCACCGGGCGAGTGTTTACTCGCTCACGTGAGGATTTTTCAAAGTTCTTTGCAGAGATCGGTCCTGAGCCAAGAACAAAGATTGCAGCTGATGACTTTGGAGTGGGGAAATCTTTATGTTCAATAGACAGGTTGTCTGGCACTGACAGATGCCTTTAAGGATGATTAGCCCACTTATGAAAAACACACAGTACTCTTGTTTGCCTCTCGAGTCATGCAAATTTAGTTTCCACAAAGCAGCGTTTCTTATACATCTGAAATAACCAAGTCTTATTCAAAATGGTTGGGTATTTTTAACCTGGAGAAGATAACATAAGAAAGCCCTGATGGATCAGGCCCATGGTCCATCTAATCCAGAATCCTGTTCTCACAGTGGCCAACCAGATGTGACTCCCCCAACCTCAGGCAAAACCTTTTGGACCAGTGGACCAGAGCCGTAGCTAGGTGATCTTGCGCCCCTGGTGTCCAGACTGCGTCCAGATTGTGCCCCCAACCCCTCTATTAAAAACCTTTCCTTATGAGGCAATAATCAACATTTTTATTTATAGACATATTTATGGACATATTTTTTAGCCGATGTTGTGCCCCCCCTTGCCTGTGCCCCTGGTGAGGGCCTTCCCCGCCACCCCCCTGGCTACGGCCCTGCAGTGGACACATTTGGAATTTTATGAAAGTGTTGTGGTTCGAGGACCCGACCCCCGCGATGTGAAATAAATACACAAGGACACGTGATATAAGGTTAATGCCACAACTTTATTGATTACAGCAGTGAAAAGGTATTGGCTTAGGCATTGGATGTCTAAAACAAGGGGGTTTATTCACCAGTAGGTGGAGCCTGTTGATGCTAATCCAACTATAGGCTCTCCCCTGATGTCACCGGGGTCGTGCCATGGCCTCCCGCCAAGCAGGCATCGGACAGAGTACACGACCGCCAGATTCCTTTAACGGAATACCCAAAAATTGAAGGCATAGGCGATGGCCACACCCAGCCCTTCGACACACCACAACACATTATTCCAATGCCTAACCTACCCACCAATACCACAAAAGTTGTGACGATTGCTACGAGGTAGGCGAAAAAACCAAAAAGCCTAATGCCAAATGGAAAAATTCCTACCAGGCCCCCAGACAACCAGGGCGACCAACCTAAGGTCCATAGCAAGGCCAAAGAACAAAGACCCTGAGCTAAAAGGGAGTGGAGGGTGGGTGACTTGCGACGAGAGGACGGAGAAGAATGAGGCCGAGGAGAGGCTGGCGCTGCCGCAAAAGGCTGCTCACGCCCCCTCGAAGGCACCTGGTTGGATGCCTGCAGAGGGGGCGTGGGCGCCAGCCAGGTGAGAGGAGGAGGCAGGGGGCTAATGCCCCCTGCTAGGGGCGGTGCTCGGGCTCCCGCCCACAACCACTCCCCTCTCTTCCAGGGAGGAGAGTCTTTGTTGGCACCAGACACAAAATGGCTGCTGCGGAGGTGTGGCATAACACAAAATGGCTGCCACACGGTGTGTGTGTAGGAGAGGCCGAGTCTGTACAAACAGGAACTGAGCAGGAAGAGTCACTCACGCATTGTGGATTTTTGAGGGGAATGTGTACTGAGACCTTTTGTGGGCACTATAGGAGGTACCATCAGACACGCTGGCAGGTGTGGGTGTCGTGGTGGTGACCCTGGACTAACGGTGATTCCCCCCTGGTAGAAAAAGATGACTTGAAATCAGTGCTCAACTCTAGTGAGGGGGACCGTCTGGACTGCAAAATGTCAGAGACCCCTGCTATAGACGCTGCAGCCGCCGGTATCTCCAGGCCCCTCTGCAAAGGTAGTGTTTGCGCTCATAACATCCGATGGAATCATCTCCTGAAGTTGCAAATGCACCCATACTCTCTATGGGAGATCAGTCAATTACAGCAAATTGAGCTATTTCATTTCTGCCTGCAAATGGCTTCCCCGTTACACAAGCAGACACATTAATCTAATAACTAATGATCATATATTTTACTAATCATACAGCGCCGCGTGTGGTATTATATCTAATTATATTTAAGATTAAGACATCTTTACGTGTGTGATCTTTGCCAGTTGCCAGCTTCGTTTAGTGGAGTGAAAAGCTCAGTATAAAAAAAATATTGAACGCAGAAATGAATTATTCTTTCCCCATCCCCTCTTTTTACTTCTTCTGTCAGCTGTGATATTAATTCAGCTTACAACAGCTGGTGGAGCTTGGGGAATGCATGTAGGATTGAAGTCTACGCAAGGCTTCCTGAAACTTCAAGGTAAGAGGATGCAGCTCTCTACATGTTTACCTGGGATGAAGTCCCATGGAATCCAGAGGGGCTTGCAAAGGAAGATAGGAAGTTGCCGTAAAACCATTCAGACCATTGGTCCATCTAACTCAGTATTGGCCACACTGGCTGGCAGCACCTCTCCAGGGTTTCAAACCAGTAGTCATTTCTGCTCATACCTGGAGATGCCAGGGATTGGACCCCAAACTTTCTGCAGTCAAAGCATGTGCTCCACCACTGAACTACACCTTCTCCTCAATACTACAAATTGGTCTAGGAAAATAAAGGGAAGCTGCCTTGTCACCAGGTTGACTTTTGGTCCATGTGGCTCAGCATCATATATAGTTGGTACTTAGTTGGTATTTCTCCAGTCTTCCAATACCAGCTATAGAACAATGGCAAGAGAAGTTGATGAACTATGCAGAACTGGCAAAAACGACAGATAGACTAAAAGGAAAAGACAACAGATACTTTGGGAAAGATTGGGAACCATTCATATGATATTTGCAGAAAGAAAGAAAGTCAATAGACTTGATGGCAGGTTTAAAGAAACATTCACATTATTGGCATTAGAAAATGTTTAGAAGATAGTGAAATATGATGGTGTATTTACTGTTATTTTTATGTCTTTAGGCTTGAAGTTATGTTATTAATAACTTTTTCTGTTAAGAGATAGCAAAGTGGGTGAGAAACAACCAGAAGTGGAAGTTGGGGGAAGTCTTGGAGGGGAGGGGAGGGAGGAATATATAGTAAATGTTAAGAATTTGAGATGTATGTAATGAATGAAAAAGGAAAATGAATAAAAATATTTTAAAAAACACATCTGGCTCAGCATCATATACAGTGGTACCTCGGGTTACATACGCTTCAGGTTACATACGCTTCAGGTTACAGACTCCACTAACCCAGAAATAGTGCTTCAGGTTAAGAACTTTGCTTCAGGATGAGAACAGAAATCGTGCTCTGGCGGCAACGGGAGGCCCCATTAGCTGAAGTGGTGCTTCAGGTTAAGAACTGTTTCAGGTTAAGAAAGGACCTCCGGAACGAATTAAGTACTTAACCCGAGGTACCACGGTACACTGAGTGGCAGTGGCTCTGCAGGGTTTCCTCCCACTAGCCCAATTTGGAGAATGCACACGGAGTCTTCTGCACTCAAAGCAGATGCTTTACCACTAAGCTATGGCTGTCCCCCCAACATGTATAAAATTGCACTAGCAATCACAGATAATGGATGCCATTTTCTTTTAAGGGATTACTCCACTCATTTATCTCTCGCTGCCCTTTCTAGGTCCACTTTATGCTCTTCCTAGGACTACTTCCTAGGATCCCTATTTCAAATCCACCTTTTCTGGGAAGTCATTGGCCCTGAGGGTTGCATTGTGCTTGGAGCAGATCCACTAAAATCCACGGGCTTAAGTTAGATGTGCCCATTCATTACAATGGGTCTACTTTGACTAGGACTAAATTTAGATAGAAGAGAAGAAGAGTTTGGACTTGATATCCTGCTTTATCACTCCCCTTAAGGAGTCTCAAAGCGGCTAACATTCTCCTTTCCCTTCCTCCCCCACAACAAACACTCTGTGAGGTGAGTGGGGCTGAGAGACTTCCGAGAAGTGTGACTAGCCCAAGGTCACCAGCAGCTGCATGTGGAGGAGCGGAGACGTGAACCTGGTTCACCAGATTACGAGTCCACTGCTCTTAACCACTACACCACACTGGCTCTCATGGTGGTGACCTTGGTCCTTATGCCCAACCTTATACCCACGGGTCCTCAATCCATGGTCCTTATACCTGACAAACATGAAGAGGGGCTTGGCAATTCTAGGGTCCTGGGGAGGCATCTCTGGGGCCACAGGAAGCAATGGGTCTCCCTCTTCAAGGATGATGCTGGAATCCTTTCTGTTGTCGCAAAGACTTCCATGGGGCCTTGCCCCACCAGAACTTCCACACCCCTTGTCCTACTGATATCAGAAATCTAACGTCAGTAGACCCCAAAGTCCCTGGGGTGGACTGGGGGGCATTCCAGGGATGGATCGAAGGATCCAGTGCCTTCCCAATCCTCTGATCTCTTATTCACTTACAAAAATGAGTACAGTGGTACCTCAGGTTACAAACGCTTCAGGTTACAGACTCCGCTAACCCAGAAGTAGTACCTTGGGTTAAGAACTTTACTTCAGGATGAGAACAGAAATCATGCAGTGGCAGCGGGAGGCCCCATTAGCTAAAGTGGTACCTCAGGTTAAGAACAGCTTCAGGTTAAGAATGGACCTCCAGAACGAA